CCATACTCGATCGAGTACGTCATATGCTTGATCTACTTGATCTACTTGCTCTGCTGGGTCGTAAACTCGGAAGAATTTTGAAAATTAGAGTAAAAGCTTTCATAGGAGACGAAGCAAAAACTTTCGCGCCAACGGGATGCAAACCCACAAGCATTTCCCTTTGAGACCGTTACCACAAGACCACGGTGGCACTGCTATTCATCGATCCGCAGCGTTTACGAGCCAAAACTGATTTTTCGCAAACTTTGACCGCCCAGAACTCGTCTGGGAGGTCCCCGTAGCACTTTTAATCTGCATATTCGTAATCAGCATCCGAGACTATCTAGGTCTCCATTCAAAGTTCCATGGGAAGTTGAAACCATTCCCTTGTTAGGGTTTTTCCAGACCTCTTGACGCCGCTGACTGCGACGATATAAACTGTAGACGTTCTCCTCGGCAGTTTCTTCGACTCCTTGTCAGTGCTGGGTACCAATGCCGCCGCAAAGATTCACCATCATGTGTTACGCAAGATTATCATTTGAAAAAGTTCATTCACGTACAACCAACATCGAAGTGTTCGAGGTTTGGCTTAGAAGGGGCATTTTGCATTTTCGCTGGTTTATTCTGAAGGCAGGGATAGCCGAGTGGTTAAGAGTGTAGACTCATAATCTCACTCTGAGCCACGAGTTCGATCCCTGCCGAGGCACAAACCTGCCTTGCAAAAATTGCAAAAATGGGGACGATACCAGCGTCAGGCCCAGGTTGACAGGCCGGCTGATGGAGGAACCCGTCACAACAACCATGACAAGTCGCAATAGAATCAGTGTAAAAGCTAGGACGTCACCCGGAAGTGGCGCGCAGAACCCTCGCCCGAGTTCTGTGGTCAGTATGCGAGGGCTACCGAGGGCGTGGTGAACGACCTCGGCCAAAGAAGCTAGTTCGAATTGGGACCCTGAACGTGGGGTCGCTTACCGGGAAGTCTCGTGAGGTTGCCGACCTCATGAGACGCAGGAATATCCAAGTCCTATGCCTGCAGGAAACGCGATGGAAGGGGTCGCAAGCGCCCACGACATTGGAGAAGGTGTCACTATTCTACAATGCGCAGCAGACTCCCAAACGAAGCTGTGCCATAGCGAGTGGCAGAATCTCTCAAGGACTGCGTCTCCATTGTGAACAGGATCAGTGACCTGCCCTGACCTTGCTATCTAGCCTTCCTGGACCTTGAGAAGGCATTCGACGCCTGCCTAGCTGACCGACCTCTGGAGAGCGCTCAGAGAACGTAACGTTCCGGAACACCTCATCTCCATAGTGAAGGACATGTACGATGGGGCTAAAGCAGCTGTACGCACCCCTCACGGCTTGACAAAGGAGGTAAACATTACGGTTGGGGTACACCAAGGGTCAGCCCTCAGCCCGTTCCTCTTCCTCCTGACTCTGGATGTCATGGCGCAAAAGAAGCTCATGGAGGGGCCACTGAAAACCATCCTCTACGCTGACGACATCGCCCTGATAGCGGACAGCAGGGAAGAACTCCAGGACAAGGTGCAGCGGTGGCAGGATGTGCTCGCTGAGAATGGACTCCGGCTGAACGTAAAGAAGACCAAGTTCCTGAGCTCCGAAGAGTGTACCGAACTCATCGTAGACCGCCATGGCGAGAGCATCGAAAGGGTCGAGGATTTCCAGTACCTGGGAGCAACCTAGCAGCTGATGGCAGCGTGGACCAGGCGGTGAAAGACCCGAATCAACGCAGCCTGGATGAAAATGGTAGGGAGAGTCTACTGGCTCCTCGTGCGACCGATGAGTGCTCCAAACGCTCAAGGGCAAAGGTGTACCGGGCGGTGGTAAGGCCTACAATGCTCTACGGCAGTGAGTGCTGGCCTATCTGCAAGAACCATGAAAGGCAGCTCCACTCAGCTGAAATGAGGATGCTGAGATGGGCCTGCGGCTGGACACGACTCGACAGAGTCAGAAACGAGGACGTCAGAGCGGTCACACAGACGGCTCCTATCCAGCTGAAGGCACGAGAGCAGCGACTGCGATGGTATGGGCATGTACTGAGGAGGACTGAAGACCACCCAATAAGGAAGGCATTGGAACTCGAGGTAGAGGGGCAAGCACCACAAAGAGCCCCAAAAGAGATGCGAGGGATCGGTCGATCAAGAAGGACCTCACTGAAGTGAAAGCCACGGCAGAAGATGCAGTGGATCGGAACAAGTGGCGATAAGAACAGCGGACCCTGCGACGGCGCGGGACTAACGCTAGGGAGAAGAAGAAGAAGCTGGTTTATTCTGCTGGTTCCTCTTCAATTACACGTCTTGCTTTGGTGAGAGCTGTAGATTCTTGTCAGATATGAACGAAGCGCATGTTGTTATGCAGCTTCACAGGAAATTTACAGGTCTCTTTAGGAGGCGTTGGCACTGTTCGATGATTCTTATCAGTTCTTTTTTAATAAGAAAACAGGTCAAGAATCCCACGCTCACATGTGTTCTAAACATTTTTTCAGTTTAAACTATTTATCAATCCGATAACTTGGATAAGCTCTATTCAATGAGAAAGGCTAGCGAATTGCTTAGATAATACCATTACACATCTGTGGAATTAAATTGACACATATTTTGCTGCAGTTCGTCTAAAGTCACATTTTATCCCTTTAAGCAACAACCCGTTCAAGCTCTCAACATAACTCAACACTACTGAGTAATAAATATGCCACTAACAATCCGACTAAAAAGTTAAGCAGTTTCATTCAATCCTAGTAAAGAGACTAGTCCCCCATAAAAAATGACATGAAGAAGTCCTCGACTGGATAACGGCACCGAATTGTACGTATGTTCATCCATGACTCGAGTAGGTCTCGAGGGCCAGCCTTATGTACAGGATAGCTGATGACAGTTCCTTCACCATTGATACAGGGTTGTGACGGTTTCTGAAAAAGGCATCGTTTAATCCACAGATGGAGAGAAGGACATCACTACATTTGCTTCGACTCGTAGAATACTACTGTGAAGTTTCCGTTGGGAGATTCACGTCGTTGCAACGCGCCGTTGCATGTGTCGTCGCGCGCGCGGCATTCGCACCAGAATATAAATGATTTGACATTAAAGTGCTACGAATGTGAACTACTAAGAATTGCTGTCATTATTCTCCCAGACGTGGATCTCCCAAACGAAGGGTCCACAAGACAATCGTAGGATACCGCGCTGATGGGCGTGGAGAGCGACGTGGTGCCCGAGAGCTGTCCTGCCTG